AGGAGGAGGATATATTGGGGTTTGAAAATAGTGGAACAAGAGTTAATGGATATTTCAATCAGCAAGAGGAATGAAATTTCTTCTGGAAGCAATGAATCAGAATGTTACATTTTCCCTAAGGCTTCAAGCATATCTGCTTGATGTGGTTTTCTATTTCTAAATTGATTCAGGACATGGAAAGTTCTCGTGTTTTTTTAAATATTTTTTTATGGGATCAGTAGGATCATAGCTCTTCACCCTACCAGTCATGGTTTCAATGAAACGTCCAATTGTAGAAATACAAGGTAAGGTGCATAGCTGGAGCTTACACCAGGATGCCCTTTTAAAGGGTGATGTTTCTTATTCAGAGTGGTTCTCTGGTTTATTTAGCGACTATTTCCTGCTATATATTTCATTGACAGAAGCCATTAGCTCTAATAATCTTTGACAATTTGAGGTATCTTTTTATGAACATGCTATTCTGTGTAGGTGCTGTTAGAAGAGTTGGCAAAAGTCAAGTTGCATTACACGCCAGGGTTCCTCGCAATATTACTGTCAAGGATGTGATAGCCGTCCTTGAAAGAGAAGCTCAAATGTTCAAGTCTACATTGATATACCGCTTCCATGAAAAAATGCGGTCTGATGCTCCAGCTGAATTAGTACGTAATTAGGAGCCAAGTGTTTGATAGTTGACTGTGGGGCCGGCGGGATTGAGATTACAAAATTGGTCTCCATTAGAGGCAGTTTTTGTTGTCTGTAGTTGAAAGTATTATATTAGTGAATCAATATCCATGTGGTCGTTTTTTAGTAAATGTTGAAATATATGCTGACAGTTTACGTAATTTTCAGGTTAACAATAGCGCATATTAACCCCCTCCCACAACAAGACCACCGACAAAAAAAGAGAAACATTAACAATAGTGTTGTATGCTGTCAAAGTCGTATGCCCCGATGTGGAAGTTCGAGGTTCCGCTCTAGGTCCAAGCTCGGGAGAAGTCAAGTTTGAAACCGGTGGGCCACGTTCGAGCTCTAAGAAAGAGCCTGATGTTCGGAAGCGGGAGTTCGGAGAATACCAAGGCCAAGTGTACTCGACCTCGAAATACTACTGTTATGGAGTTGTACTAAAGCAAGCTAGATTTCTGCCATGTCCCATATGTTACGGCGTAAATCATGGAATAGGATTGTACGATTTCGTACTAGACGGTTAGATAGCTGTACCAAGAACATTCCCTGCCGTAAATGGAAATATTCCTTATTTAGAATTCCCCCTTTATAAGGGAGATCCCAATAATTTGTGACATTATCTTTTACTGTGTAGAGAATATACTCTCTACTTTTGGCTTGCTATTCATCAGAATTGTTCCTTAGCTTACAGTGTTCTTAGTTTCTTAATTTTCTTACTGCCCTAAGCCACCTCGAGCCATCTTCTCGAGGTCACTGCTGTTGAGTAATATCGGTTTGATTCACTTCTATTTTTCGTTTCTGTTTCATAAAGCTTGATTATTAATTAGTATTGAACTAAATCACATATCTTTAAAACCACAAAACCAAGTTTAATTATTACTCGTATTTTTGAGGTAAACAGTTTGGCGCCCACCATGGGGCTAAAGATAATAGTGATTATTTCTTTACTGATTCTTATTACACGTTATTTTTTACACTTTTTCTTGTCAAGAATCTTTGATTTTCAGGCTGAAACATGTCTAGCTCACAAAACGCACCCGTTCATGACAACGAAGGTCTTGGTGAAAACAACAATGTAGGGGTCGGTGTGCCACTGGCAAACCCTAGGGAAGTGCCAAACATTGAACCAGTTGATGTTGGTTCCCATATTGCTATAAACACCAACCTAGGCACAAACCCCGAAGGGAGTGTATGTAGGGATGCTCGACCAGGGGATCAAGGAAGGCTAGGAGCAGGAGATGGAGGAGTTAGCCTCCAAGTGATATTTGAGATGTTGCAGGCTCAGCAAATCGCCATCGCTCAAATTCAAAGTCAGAATAAGACCCCGAGTGTAGCTGAACAGGAAAACAATCGACGTGCTGAAACAATGCCGGAAAGACCAAATGGAGACAGCTCGGCGACTGACCCCACCATTATGAAAATGCTCGAAGAGCTCACTAAAAGGATCAAGTCCGGAGAAAAGAAAATTGAGGATAACGACAAGAAGGTGGAGACTTATAACTCCCGTGTAGACCAGATACCGGGGGCACCTCCAGTTTTGAAAGGTCTAGACGTCAAGAAGTTACAAAAACCATTCCCTTAGAGCGCAGCCCCGATGCCCATTCACAAGAAATTCCGCATGCCCGATATACCCAAATATAACGGAACAACCGATCCTAACGAACATATTACTTCATACACTTGTGGGATCAAAGGGAATGACTTGAATGATGATGAAATCGAGTCAGTGTTGTTGAAAAAGTTTGGGGAAACACTCTCAAAGGGAGCTATGATTTGGTATCACAACTTAGCCCCTAACTCTATTAATTCATTTGCTACTTAGCGGACATTTTCGTTAAAGCTCACGCCGGGGCCATAAAGGTGGCCACGAGAAAATAGGATGTCTTCAAAATAAAACAAAGGAACGATGAGATGTTAAGAGAGTTCGTGTCCAGGTTTCAGATGGAAAGAATGGAACTACCGCCGGTCTCCGACGACTAGGCGATACAGGCCTTCATGCAGGGTTTGAAGGAGCGAAGTTCGATTGCTTCTTGACAACTAAAGCAGCATTTGATCGAGTATGCAGCTGTAACATGGTTGAATGTGCACAACTGTTACTAGTTGTATATGGTGAAATCGAAAGGTCCAATTCCTCGTCATCGAGGCACCTCAGAGGATCATCTCGAAGGCTCGAGGTGCAAGGCTACGGTCGAGTTTCCTCCCTCGAGGTTCGTCGACGCTCGGCCTTGGGACAATGATGACCCCGACTATGGTAGAGATGGGGAGTTCCCAAGGCGTGCGGCTAGGGCTGACAGGGTCCGTTAGGCTAGTCTGAGCCAGCATCATGGCGGTATCTAGGTGTCCCATCTCCATATGTTTGTAATTAATACATTTGTATTACATTGGAATTTCTCCTACTATATAAAGGGATCCTTGTCATTTTATAAATGATCCGTGGCTCCAACTTCTTCACACGAAATATACAAGAACTCTCTCTTTTTTCTCTCTAACATACTCTCTCGATATTGTTGCTCTTATTTATTATCTTCATACTTGTTCTTCATTTATTCCTTATCATTGGTCATAAAGAGCCTTCGCTGATTATTTTACAACTGTTAGCCCTTCCCTGATTGCCCTTAATAGCTCGAGCCCGAGCCCAGGAATCAACCTCGAGGCCCTGTATCGGTCAGTCCGAGGCCCCGATTAGCTAGCTCATCAGTTTAATTATAACTCTATTTTAGCTCGCATTTCGTCTCTAAACCTCATACATATAACATCGTCTGCTTAAACAACTAGCATAAAAATAGATCACGTATTTTTAGAGTCCCATCAACAAATGTAATTGTTATTACCATTTTCACGGTAAACAGTTTGGCGCCCACCGTGGGGCTAAAAATAATAGTGATTATTTTCTTACTGGTTTCATCACATAACGCAAGTTATCTTTCACACATTTTCTTGTCCAAGACCTTCGGTTTCAGGTTAAAATGTCCGATTCAGTAAACAACAATATTAAGAACCACGGAGAAAATGGTGTGGCCGTTCCAGGTGTTGGTGAGCCGCCACAAAATCGTGAGAACGCGCCAGGACCGATTCCGGCGGGCGAAACATGTGACGCTTGACACGTCGAAACAAGCTCCCACACTAACAGGAGCATACACCAAGTCGACCAACAGGAAGCCCAAAAAACCCCAGCTCGGGAAGAGCGGGAAGTTAGCCTTCATGTTATTTTTGAAATGTTGCAGGCACAACAGCTGGCTATTGCTCAGCTGCAAAGTCACCAGAAGACTCCTAGCACGGTAGCACCGGAGACAGCTCCCCCGGCCGAACAGGTACCGGAGAGGTCAAGCAATAATGGGTCGATAGCCGATCCCGCCATCATAAAAATGCTCAAGGACCTCACCAAAAGGATCGAATCGGGCGAGAAAATGATAGCAGCCAACGACAAGAAGGTCGAGACTTACAACTCCAGGGTCGACCAAATCACGGGCGCACCCTCGGTCCTGAAAGGTGTGGATCCGAAGAAGTTCATGCAAAGGCCGTTCCCTGAGGAAGCGGCTCCGAAACCCATTCCAAAAAAGTTCAGAATGTCAGAACTCCCAAAATACAACGGGACCTCGGACCCCAATGAGCATGTTACTGCCTACACGTGCGCAGTGAAGGGCAACGACCTAAAAGACGACGAGATCGAGTCCGTCTTACTGAAGAAGTTCGGGGAAGCACTCTCGAAGGGGGCCATGATGTGGTATCACAACCTAGCTCCCAACTCCATAGACTCGTGTGCCATGCTGGCAGACTCCTTCATAAAGGCACATGCTAGTGCCATCAAAGTAGCAACGAGGAAGTCTGGCGTGTTCAAGTTCAAGCAGAGGGAGAACGAAATGCTGCGAGAGTTCGTATCTCACTTCCAAACGGAACAAATGGAACTACCACCGGTCTTCGACGACTGGACGGTGCAGGCCTTCACTCAAGGCTTGAATGAGCAGATCTGAGTAGCTTCAAGGCAGATGAAAGAGAATCTGATCGAGTATCCCGCCATAACCTGGTCGAACGTCCACAACCGATATCAATCAAAGATTAGGGTCGAGAATGATCAACTAGGAGCCCCCCCGGGCTCAGTATACCCGAGTAGGCTTCTGACGAAGGAGCCAAATCCAAATAAGGAAAGATATTAGCCATACACCGAAGACAGGAGAAACGCCCCGAGGCGCAACCCACCTCGCAATGATCGATTGATCAACTGAGGACAGAATCCTTGGGGACTCATTAACAGAACCGGATTCGATGGAAACACGGGGCCAACAGGGGCACCGCGCTTATCAGAATACAACTTCAACGTCGATGTATCAGATATCGTTTTCGCCATCAGCAAAATCAGAGACACCAGATGGCCCAAGCCTACACAGCCGGATCCTTCCCGAAGGAATCATAACTTAGTATGTGAATTTCATAACACTCACGGCCATAGGACTCAAGATTGCCACCAACTCCGAGAGGAAGTAGCCACACTGCTCAATAAAGGTCACCTCCGAGAATTCCTAAGACACATTCTCCGTCTACAAACATGCTCCGAAAATGCTACATACAAAATGGCAAAATCTACGCCCTACCCCTGAGAGCTACGGCCTACGGGCCTCATTTTCACTCTCCTCGATGCCAGACAGAAGCAACAGAGCATCGCGCTCGTCCGCCCTCGCTCGATGCAACTCTTCCGAGAAAACAAAACCCCTAGCGCGGATCTCCTCGAGAATCTTTCTTCGAGACTTGCAACAAGCATATTTTTTTTATCCTCTCCTCGCAATCGAGGATCCTCCTCAACTCGGCTTGAGCAACGGTAGCGTCCTTCAAATAAATCGCCATCTCTTGATTAGCCTTAATTCGGCTCATGCTGCTTCGGTCTGGGCATCGACGATCTCAGCCCTGATCTTCGAGGTCCAACTTCGCTTAGCTCGTGATGATGCTTTGGTTCATGCGGATACGATCACGAAGCTCGAATCGTTCCCAAGCGATCGAGCCAAAAATCATTTCCGGGAAAGAAAGGCGGCCAAGAAGAACGAAACGAATGAGCCGCAACGTGTCATCCACGTGATCTTGGCATCGATGCCCCCATAGGAGCCCGTGATGAGAAGGACAAAAATATCCATCACCAGAGAAAAGCGAACTCGGGGCTACGTACCAGCGACGAGGACATCGAGACCTTGTCTCAGCCTCATAACGACGCACTAGTAATCCTTTCCTTGTAAATACATTCCAAATTAAACGTGTACTCACGACCAACATTATCAGGTCGAGGGTAATCGAGCAGCTCGGACTGCTTAGCCAAATCGCACCTGCCTCTCGAGTCCTCAACGGATTCAACATGGAAAACAAAATGACGAAAGGGGACGTCACCCACCCCCAGTCAACATGGCAGGCATAACCCGAAATGCCAAATTCCATGTCGTCAAGGAAGACTTGAGGTACGATGCCTTGCTCAGAAGGTCATGGATACACTCCATTAGAACAATACCTTCCACCCTACATCAAATGATGAAATTCCCGACAAAAGAGGGGATTAATACATCTACGGGGAACAACATGTGGCAAGGGAAATGCTCACAGTGCACGATGTTCGCAGTGCACATATCATCCATACGATCTTTTGAGGTATTGGAACCCAGCAGGAACCCCCAGCCAGGAAAGAAAAAACATTCCTCAACAGGGAAAG